TGGGGATGAAAAAAGGAAAAAATCAGTACATAAGCCGTTATCAATTTAATAATTAACTTACTTGGTACATTAATGTTTCCATTCATGTTATAGTCACATATTGCTTTAATGTTTGTTTAATTAATAACATTATTATAAAATAACCCAAAAAAGTGGTTATTTATATATATGTATTAGACCTGACAATCTTAACCCAAACTCGATGACTCGACCCATGACCCGAAATCGACCCGAAATCAGTGACCCGAAATTGACTTAAAACCCAAATTAACCCGACCCGACCCATACCCGACCCGAAGTGGAACTGACCCTACCTTGACCCTAAAGCCGAAATGACCCAACCCGAAACGATCCGACCTGAGATGACCTGACCCAAAGTTGACCCGAGACCCGAAACAACCAGACCCGAAGTTGACCCGACCCAAAAGTGACCCGACCTTTAACTTTTTTTAGTAAATAATTGTATAAGCCATAAAAAGTTTATATTAGGAAATTATACATTAAAATAGACCCAACATTATCTTACATGACTACATTGACTTTCATATAATAGCTAAAAAGACGGTCAAAGTGAGATGTGTAAATAGTGCAAAATGTCAAATCGTTAAGAGTAATTTGGGACGGAGAAAGTATAATAATAATTCAAAGAAATTATAGCAACAATGACAATGATAATAAGAGTACGTATTAAAACTAAGATCAATAAGAGAGTGAGGTATAACTCAATTAGTTAGAGCATCCCTCTTAGTTTCAGGAGATCCTAAAAGTGACTCTCAATCTAAACACACACACACCACACACACAAAAAAAAAAAAAAAAAAAAAAAAAAAAAAAGAGGTTTATATAAGTCAAACAATTACTATAATCAATGATAAAAATACCTGTAATAAATATAGTGAGTTTTTCGTTAATAAATAAATATAAAAGTTGAATTTAACCCAATGAATCACCCGAATATGACTCGACTCGAAGATTGACCCGACCCGAAGTTAACCCAAATATTGACCCGACCCAGAAATTGACCCGACCCAAAGTGTTAACCCGATACCCGACCCGACCTGATTATCAGTCGACCCGAAATCAACCTGAAACCCGAAATGACAAGACCCGACTCAAACTTGACCCGATAACCTTTTGACCCAACCCAAAATGACCCGACCCGAATGATCCATTTTCCAGGTCTAATATATATATATATATAACTGTTTAATATTTATGATACAATAACCCAAAATGTAAGGTTGTACCACTGAAACTGCAATGGTACTTGTCACATTTGATTTGGTGATTGATTTTCCGGCCAACAGAAGAATATTGATCGATGGATAACTTTGTTTAGATGGACCCATAAAAGACTACTTGAGAAAGACTATTAATTTCTTAACATTAAACAGAGTACTTGCTTCTTACATAGGTGAACCAACTTTCATAACATTAATTTCTAAATGTATCTTGGTACATCAGTTGCATTACCGTACTAACCAAATTACTTGAATTACGATTTGAAATATAATAACATTGCAATTAACAACATTGTAAGCCTAATCTTAACAATGTTTATGTTTTGTTGCACCAACTCCTCGACCCTACGAACTACGCCCCTGATGTTGTTCGGTGGTCCGTCCTTGAAAAGGTCGGAAACAACAGGCCATTCCCAGTAACCGTAGTGGCAACATTTATAGTACGACCTTTTCGGATCCATTTCGGACATCCAGATGAAAAATTCGACGAGGGTAGCATCTTCCTCGTTGTAGTTGCAAAATTTTTCAAAAATCCATGAGATGTTAGCAGATGCACACGGTTGACGAATTACACGACTCCCTGAAGAGGCTGTTGACATAGTTTGTGGAGTACAACTTTGCAAGTTTTTCAAGTAAGAGGGTGAATGGAGGGAACTACAAAAGGAGGGCCAAGTGAAAAGGGATTTACCAATGGTGATGGGTAAAAGGAAGAAGTACCACATAGAGCGGGAAATTTGTTATTCTTTCGCGCCTGATTTTTACTTAAACCCTTAATTTTTATCGAGCTGAATTTTGACTATTTACATTCACTATGGCACGTATAGTTGGACATATATGTACAACTAGTATACAATACGTAAGAATTTGTACCATTAATAACAAAATGTTATAAATATGAATTTAAAATGTCTAACTATAGTATGGTCCAAGTAATTTTCACACTTAGGTTTTAATGAATTTCATATATTTCTTCACACTTAGTCACTACCCATACGGCAAGGAATTATTCATTTTCATGTAGGTGGTACATTTAGTCATATTTTTTATACCATAAATAAAGAAGTAGTACAATAATGCCTCAAGTGGTACCCTATACATGTGTGCTTTTTAGTGGTACCCTAATAAAAATGCGGTGTACTATATCATCTAAAATGGTACAATATTTACCAGTAAAAGTACCACTGTGACAGTCCCTTTGGTTAAAGTCATTAAGATTAGGGTGCAAAGAACATGTTTAGGCTTTTTATTAAGAGCCCTTATTGTCCCTAAACCTATTTTAAGGAATAGGGTTGTAAATTAAAACACTAAAAATTGAATTCCGATAAACGATGAGCATAGAGTCGGTAGTAACTGAATACCTACCTAAACAACGGTATATGGAAGTGTATCTTTTGTTAAAAAGTAACTGAATACATGAATTAGCTAATGAATCTGAATCGTATGTGTTTGGGTTTAAGGTACACGTAACCCCATTCTAAATCACATCACCATTGACTCGTAAGGCCATAATATTGACTCTATAAACCTCCAAACCATACAATTTTCAAAGTTTTAAATGAATTTCATATATATTTTCATACATAGTCATTACCCATACTGCAAGGAATTATTACTATTTGCATGTAGGTGGTACATTTAGTCATATTCTTTATACCATAAATAAAGAAGTGATACAATAATTCCTCAAGTGGTACCCTAGACATGTGTGCTTTTTAGCGGTACCCTCTAATAAAATTGCGGTGTGCATGGATTTACAGTGGCCAAATCACCATTGAATCGTATGCATTTATTTTTTACCCAACCTATCATTGGAGGAAGGTTCATCTATCAGCATTAGGGACAGAGCTGTCTTGTCATAACAAACACAAGTACCCACTATTCGTATAATATATGTACGCATATGTACCATCTTACACATTTTATAGACCAACGAGATTTTAAAGTACCACAGTAAAATTATGTATCAAATCTACTCAAAATATTTTACCCCTTTGACTTTGAGAGTATAATTACGGCAGTAAGGGGAGTTATTTTTTGCAATTATTATCCAACTAAGTACTTGAGAATTACACTTTTGCAAAAAATGAACTTTTTTTTGTGAGGTCAGTGGGTGGAATTAAGTGGTACACTATTGTATACGAAAATAGAATTATATGTACCATTATATTCTTTACCTATACTATTGGCACATTTAATCTTCCATTGGGAACTGTATAAATTGTTTAATTTAAAAAAGTAGTTGGGGGGGGGGGGTAATTTAATGAGGCTTTAGCACTATTAAACGTTGGAAGAGGACTATCTACTTTCATACATGCCTTGCTAAGTCAGTGCATACAATAGTAGTTTTCAGGACAAAAAAAACTGGGAGAAATAGGAGCAAGAGAGTGGTTGCTGAAAAGGGATAGAGTAATGAAAAGAAAGTGGCTCCTCGTAAGACCCCAAGGGGACTTATGAAGTGTTTAGAGTATATGAAAAAATGGCCATCATGATGCAAACGGCGTCATTTGAGACTTTTACCTCCCTAAAAGAGGTAAAGAGATTATGATCTCGCACCAATCGGCAATGATAGCTCGCATAGTGAAATCCTTTGTAGGGAAATCCTCCTTTGTAGGGAAATCTGTCTTTAAATGCCTCACATAGCGGATTGTGTTCGAGTCAGCAAATCTTTCGGCCTCACCCCTTATGGTCATAGCATCACAGTTTCAAAGCACAAACTCAGACAAGGTTGTGTTCTTGTCAATATAACCGTTGAAAAAATGATTGAAGCTTTCCGAACGTTGTGTTGTTTTCATCCCAGCCCAAAACAAATGTTTCAAATAGACTGGGATCCACATTTGCCTTTACTTAAATAGACCTGCATGTATCATATCCAAAGAGGAAATCAGTAGCTTTCAAACATAATTCTCATAATGGAAAATAGCATCTGCCACCTTAGTGGTACAAAATAAATGCCACCTAATGTCTTAAAGTGTAACCAGTACATACAAAGGTACATAATAAAAAAATGCAGTCAACACCACAACACAAAAATTGCTTCAACCATGCTGCTTGCACACTTGATCGAACTCCCTGTTTTAGTGCTTCATGCATATCATGACATGGACTACACACCCAAAATGCTAGTGCAGTAACCAAGCTTAAGGATAGATCACCTATAGAAACCAACAATCATATACCAAATCAATAAAAACAAACAAGTCATATAAAGCTGATCAACTGTACCTTCAAGCCAACTGTTTTCTTGTAGTTCATAATATTCCACTGCATCCATCCAACGAGCTACAAATTCTTCTTCATCTAAACTACTATATATGATATTCTCAAACTAATCCTTCACAGCATAATATTGCTCATGCTTACCCACGTACTTCCCAAAATTGTGAAGGATGTGCCAAATGCCCCACCTATGACAAGTGTCACTCATGGTTATATTCACATCTTTCTTAATAGTCGGATCTTGATCCGTCGGGATCGAGACAGGAGCTTTCCTTCCCATGCAATGTAGCCATGTCCTCAACACCCACTCATAGATCTCTGTCATCTCCCGAGATATCAATACACATCCAAACATTATACTATGTCCGTGGTATTCATAAAGACAAACAAAGCAAAGGGAAGCTGAAATTTGTTCGTTAAGTATGTACTGTAAAAACAGACAACATCTCTAAACTCTTCATACGCAGCTCTACTCCTCGAATCTACCCAAAAAATTTCTTGTAATGCACCATGTTTCCCGAACCTACAAAGATGAAAAAAAAATTAATTGTCTGAACTCATTTTGTTGAAGTACTCAATCATTCCATTCGCATCACCCTCAGTTAGCTTCAGTCTTTGTTTCTCATCCGCTGCATTCTCCAAGTCTTTCTGTGTAAATGACATCTCATCCATTCCTTTCTTCTCCCTCGCAAAACAATTATACATCTGCGATACCTTTACCCTAGACTTCTTTGCATTACACACCCGGTTCACCAAGTGTCCATTTTTAGACACAAACTCATGTTTCCTGAACATTGTTATATCCTTTGCCTTTCTCGATGTAACTAAGTGACCTTTGTGCTCCAAGTGTAACCTACAAACAACCCAATTCCCTTCCTCATCAACACTAGCATACAACTCGACCTCACACCCACACTTTTTCGTCTTCCGTTTCACAACTGTTTCCTCATCTTGCAACAATCCTTCCTTAAGTACATCCACTTTAAGCTTCCTGGAGGATCTTCCATAGCAGTCGCAAGTCCACTTAGCATTCCTTTTCTGCTTACAATACGTTTCATCCCCCAAATCACTCTTCACCTTGGAAAACCCAGCACCAGCCCTCACTATACCAAACCCCTTTTGCCTAGCATAACTCCAAAAATAACTATCAACCTCATCCCAACTACCAAATACCATACCCAAACTCGGGCTGGTACTTCCTCTTCTACACCAAATATTGTGCTAACCAGTACAGTGTTCTTCTTCGGCGTTATGAAAGTAAAACTTCCTAACCCTGCACCTCCATCTTCAACTCCTTCCTCCTCTTCCACTTCCTAGGAATTTGACCCCCTTCCTCTCCCTCACTATCAGACCCCCGTTACTCTCCATCATAATATGATCCCTTTTCAATTTTCTCCTTATCCCCTTCTCCATTCCCATGCTCACTCTATAATCCCTCCTCATTACCACATACATCATCATCATCATCACTACCACCAACGCCCCCCTAAAACAATGACACACAGACAACAATCATATACACAACACCACCACAAGAAACTAAGAACAAAATCTACATTATACATATCAATTTCTCCATAGCAAGTCATTTATATAATAACTACAATAAAAACCAACTAGGATACGATCTAAAGATAAGATCACAACAGTTTCATAACAATTGCAGAGAAGTGAAAGACTAGAAGCAGCCAACAGGTGTACCATACTAACATGTACAACTTGGTTAGAACTTTCTCAGCAAATGATGCAATTGCATACATTCTTACTGAATATATAAACAATTTTTTTTTTCTCATCAGAACTGTTAGTTTTAAACTCATAGATTACATGACACATGATGTGTTTTTAATTGGGAAATATCACATAATTATACTATTTTCATATGTTAAGAATACATAGCCACATAGAAATGATCCAAGAGTTTGACAATCCAAAGAATTTGGGAATATATATAACATCATAAAATCAAACAAGCAGCCTGCCTAGGTTAATAATCACAATAACAAGATTCTTAAGCAGGGCAGTGCTCTCAAGTGCACTACGAAAGAGGGGGGAAATAATGCTGCTAGGTTCGGTGCAACCAAGCTACTTCAATCCATATTAAATTTTGACTCCACCAATGTTTACATTAGTAGGATCCCCAATTTCAGCTACTCATTTAATTAAATTCAAGCTTTATATTTGTAGTCTATTGAATAAGAATGCTTTGACCAATCCCAAATTTCAAAATAGCATTTCACATTTCACATTTCTAGTGGCATAACTAAAAGATTGAAAACTTATAAAATGCTTATAACAGAGCATTTAATCTTAACTTGTGTGGAAAAATAGTCCTGTACGATTTTTAAAAGGGCTCTCCAAAACCTCAAACCTCAAATGTACACACTCCTCATTCTTGTGATAAATACGTAGTAAGAATCTAACAATTGACACTAATTTAATCGGGTTACAATCAACTAATCGAGTTACAATAAAAAAATCCAACAATACCAACATCAATTACTCTAAAAATGACTTACATTTACACAATATGCCAACTAAGTTAAGCAATGTCACATTCACTATCAACAACAACTATGTATTTTGAATTACCCCGAAAAAACCTAACTATTCAGCTAATTCAATTGAACTGTGTTAATTCCCATAATTCATGCATTACTAATTGCTAAGTAAAAAGAAAAAATAACACATGCACAACAAATCGACCTACATAAGGTTTCGAACACATACATTGTCACTATCAAACCGCAACTCCCTCCTTGCGCAACCATGGCCTTCTTCTTCCCGCAATGCTTCCGCTAAGTCAACTCCCAATATATCAACTAAACGATTTCGCATTGAAAAGATGTAGTTTGGATTCAGAAGATAACTGCAATTTTGGCTTTAGCTAGCTATAAGAATCGTTTGAGCTTAAGTGTTTATGGCAGATTACACCATTAAAGCTGCTGAAGCGCTGATTCTTCCTCAATTTTATTAATAAAATTATGTAAAAAGTAACTTTTGTGGGGAGTGGGTAATTTTTGGTTTCCCGCTTCAAAATTCACTCCCAGTTATTTTTTCTCAAAGTCTCGTTGGTTTTGAATCCCAATTGGCACTTTCAGGCCCTACACATCTTTGATAAAGTTCCACTTATTATCAAATATGACATCCTATATGTTAGCAAACCAATAGGGACTATGCGCCTATAGCTAGTTTTCCTAGGTTAGGTATATTTGTCCTACATTGTACATACTTAAGCTTGGTTCTGCAAACTTTCGTAACAACCTTCCAATTTCATTCTCCAAATTTTTGTTCTTTTCATTGGTTAGCTGTGATTGGGTGTTTTATACATACATATATATATATGTACATATATATATATATGTACATATATATATATATGTATATATATATATATATATATATATATATATATATATATATATATATATAAATATATATATATATATGTATATATATATATATATGTATATATATGTATATATACATATATATATATATACATATATATATACATATATATATATATATATATTTACATATGTATATATATATATATATATATGTACATATATATATATACATATATATATATATATATATATATATATATGTATATATACATATATATATATATATATATATATATATATATATATATATATATATATGTATATATATATGTATGTCCACTCTATTGAAAAAATGAAATGCTGAAGTCAAAAAACAAGAAGTAGCAAATTAAAAACAAAGCTCTAACCACTAATGATAGAAAAATAACAAAGGGATCAAGAATGCTACAAAACTTAATACATAACATTAATAATAAATTAAACATTACATAATAAAAGGAAAAGTCTTATAAATTGCCTATTGAGTTCAACATAAAAACACCTACAATACCCCCTTCTAATAAAAATAAAATAAAATAAATAAATAAAAAACTTAAAATACTTGATTTAGTAGTCATCATATTTATTTGATTTGTGATTATGACATTTCGTACTTGGCCTTAATGATTTCACATACTTGGTCATGATTTTTTCTAGCTTTTTCATCCATATTAGACGTGTCTTTGCAAAGTATCACGAAATCTTGTTGTCGAATGTGTTCTTCGCACTATGAAAGTCTTTTTTACTATAGTTCTTGATAATTACCCCACTTCTCGTCAAGATGAGCTGTTTTGCCTTTTACTTTACTTTTATTCCTCGCACTTGCTTTAGCCGCCTTTTGTCCCATTGGTTGTTTATCTCCCATTTCCAAGTCATCAATTTCACTAGTATTAGGATTTGAGGAAGAGGTAGTGTTATCTTTTGGAATAGAAACCTTTGTTCTTTTTGTAGAACTACTTTATGTAGAAACATAATCTTTCCACTTTGGGGCATTTCGAAGAATTTTCCACGAATGCAAATAAGTAGATTTGTTTTTTCTTGTTTTCACTTTTTCTAGTAAAAAGTTTTTGGGCATTACTAATCATTTAGTCATCGTCATTGCCACTTGGGCTAACACTTTTAATCTGTATATAACACCCATTGAACTTGCTAATCTCAGGACTCATTTTATACTAGTGATTTGTGGCTTGCCAATGGTTATTGGAGGGACTTCCCTTCTCCAATTGTTATAATACTCTACAAGGTTTTTCAAATAATCCGTCTTACTTTGATGGGTGACTTTGATAGAATCAGTTGTGAAATCTATCCAACTATTACATAAATCTTCATCCATGTATTGAGTCCAAGAAAGTTTATTTGTCGGCTGACTAGTAGCTTGTGCATTTACCTCTTGTACATTATCACTTTAAGGAGTGTGAGACTCCATTTGAAAGCTTTGGAGTGATGTTACTTGGTGCATATTAGAGTCCCCTACACATTCTCTTCTTGTAGCATCATGAACCACATTAGATTCACTTGAAAATGGAGGTTGAGGATGGTAGCTTGACATGTTGTCTTGCAAATTAGGCATTGTAGTATTTGATCAATTTCCCAATCCAAAATATTGACTAAATGGATTATCTGTATCATCCATCTAAATTTTTTACGAGGAACTAATCGTAGATATGAAAGTATTTGTAGATTATGTTTTTATGAAACAATATACGTGTTGTATTCTTAAGTTTTAAGAAAATATTTATAGATACATAAGATAATAATTCAAAGTAAAACATGGTTATCAAATATTGTATGTTGGCTAATATTTTGGCAAAATCTTTTATTGATAAAGTCTAATTTGTTACGTAGTATTATATAAAGTAATCAAAAAGTTTAAATTTAAAAATTGTGAAAAAAAAAATTTCAATGAAAAATACCTAATCTTGTAAAATATAGTTACAAGTGAATTTTTACAGTGAATGTTAGTCAATTTTCTTAAAAAAAGGATAAAAAAAAAAGTCTACCTATAAGCGAGGATAAAGTGTAGTCAACATCAGCTGCATATATGTCAGTTTAGACTTGAGATAAAGATGGAAATTATATTCTAAAACCTATTTTTTTTTTATGAAAAGATAAAAAATAAAAAAGTTGCATTATCTTTTTATTTAAAAATTGTAGATCACGTATAAATGTATAATGGACAATCAATCGTGTTCCCCACTCTCCAATATTTTAAAATAATTTATAAATCCTGAAAATTTCCAAGTATTGTAGCTTAACTCAACAGTACTTCTTGGTTGAGCAGATGTTTCAATAGTGCTCCAATGGTAAAACAACACTTTTGTTATTTTTCATAATTGCAAGCAAGTCCTTAAAAAACACCATTGGAGAAGCTCTCATATAACTATCATTCGGCTTCATCCTGAACCAATTGGTTGTTGGTGTAGTGGTTATTGGGATTACACTTGGTAGGAAGGATTCGTTTTTGATCCCCGCAACAATAATTGGGAAAGGACAGGAACCTAACAACCCATAATTGATCCCAAATCCGGATTAGCGCAAAGGGCGAAACGGGCGGAACACAAAAAAAATCGCTTCATCTTTTTATTAACAAAAAAAAGAATCAAACTACGGTGACTTAACCAGAGTGTAATCTTAGGTCGAATAAAAAGTGGAGGATGATTGTAACTACTTTGTGGCATTTATGGTCTCATAGAAATATCACAGTTTTTGAAGAAAAGGAACCTAATAATATTTGACAAGAAAAGTGGAGGATGATTGTAACTACTTTTTTTTTTTTTAACAAAA